AAAATGACCAAAACCAGATTAATTTTCACAGATTTTGCTAAGGCGTTTGACAAAAGCAACATGGAGTGATGCAAATAAATGAAGGCCCTTGACATTACGGGGGGAAAGGGAGGGAGATGGATTTTCGGGTTCCCAAACCCAACCCCCACAAAAGTGAGTGAAAAGGGGAAAACCAGCACAGCGGGTCAACACTCAGTGCCCCAAGGGACTGTCCTGGCACCTCTGCTGTTTCTCTCCTTTTAGCAGACATAGATAAAAACACCCACACTTTTTTATTCGTTGAATCACTAAAAAAAATAAAGTCACTACGGTAGAGGACACGAAAAAGTACGGAAGACAAAACAGGGTTTTCCAGTGGACAGTGGAGAACAACATGATGTTCAATGGTGAAAGTTCCAGCTGCTTAGTATGGAAAAAAATGAAGAAAACCCAAAAAGGGAAAACCATAAAAGAACTCAAAGGGTCACCAAAATGGAAAGTAAGGAACTCAAAAAAACCTGGGAATAATTATGCAGCTGACCTTTCTTTTTAACCCTTTCAGGGTCCCCCTCCCTAGATCAACGCTTTTCGTTCGGGGCCAAACCGTAGAAACACTCATGAGCTCAGCTCACTCTGATAAGTGAGTGGTAAATTTGGGCCTAATTGAGGAATACATCTAGGGTATGGGACCAATAAAAAAAACCCGACACACTGTGTATAATGAGAGAAAAAAAAACTGAGACCCGATTTTCGATTAAAAAAGCGACTTTTTCAGTTTTTTTTCGTATTTTTTTTTATTTGTATTTTTATTTTTGATCCATTTTTTTAGAATGAAAGAAAATATTTCAGAAATAAGAAAATGTAATTTTGATTGGAAATGGCTTGAAATTTTAGCTCAAAGTGGCGGAAATTTAAAAATTTTTTCCGATTTCAGAGTAAAAAAACACCCCCCCGTCTAATACACCCGCTGTGGGGGCTAATAAAAACCAAAATTTTGGGGGATATATTTTTACAATTATTACTATTCTAAATAAAAACTTCATTTTTTTGGGGTGAATAAAAATTTTATTAGTGAATAAAAAATCAAAAGGGGAATTTTTTGTAAAGCCTCCAAAAATAAAAGAACGAGAAATTTGTTTAGTGCCAGGAATACCTACATTGTTTATTTTTTGGACCCTATTTTTAATTGGAAATTTTTTGAACTTTGTTAAATTGGCCAAATTACCAATTTTTGGTCACTTTATTTTGTAGCTGAAACAGTTTACTTGGCGATTTCTTTTGCTCAAACGATAGAATGAAGTAATATAGTGAAATACTGAGAATTGGTCGCTGGAAATAAATGTAATTTGGGCCAAAAAAGGGGGTCAAAGTCGGCAAAATCCCGATTCGTAAATTTCGCTGAAAACACCCAAAAATTTACGAGAGCATAATTTCGTCAATTTTCCACAAAAATTCTACTTTTTGTTTTATTAAATCAAAAAAGTTCTCTACCCTTCCATAAAAAAAATAAAATTTTTTTTTTTTTAAAAATTTTGGACACTGGGGGACCCCTTCAGATTTTGGCCTTGGCCCTGAAAAGGGGTTAAAATACCCTAACAAGACAAAAAACATGACAGCCGTTCAAAGCGGAGAAACATCGGAGCTGAACAAAAACAGAGATTGTTTATGGCTCACTTTTAGCCAGTAAGCACCTAAATTATGGGAATACCTTCAAGTCTTTTAAAATGTACTCATTGGAGCGGGGAGAGAGAGATATATTTTTATACCCGGGTACTCGGGGCTTGGGCCAAAACGTTCTCTGCCTAAACAAAATACTGGAGTGAAGATATGGGAGGAAGTGTAAAATAAACCCAGTGAGCAGCAGGGGTGTGGTGGGGAAAATAAGGAAACACTGTATCAACATCCGGGGTCCCAGACTATTCAACATCTTACCAGAAAATATCAGAAACATGGCTGGAACAAGTGTAGAAGCCTTCAAGAGGAAACTGAACAAGTATCTTCACCAGGTGCCTGATCAAGCTGTGACGGATATGTGGGGCAGTGGGCCTCCAGCAGCAACAGCCTGGTTGACTGGGCAAGCACCAGATGAGCCTGGCCCATGGTCAGGCTCAGAGAGTAGATATTCTCTCGAAACTCTTCAAAGGTGGGAGACAGCCAGTGTGTTAAAAATTGTAACAGTTATTTTTTTTTGTTTTTATGTGATAATGAAGAGCTGCTACAGCATATTAGCCCCTTAACTATCCAAACATAGATCTATGCTCTTACTGCTAGCTCTCCAAACGTAGATGAACGTTTTATTTTTCCTACCTTCAAATTTGGGACGATTGTCCTGAGATGCCTGGTCACTTAAGAATGGGTCTTAACACTCGGTGTGCACAGTAGTAAAACAATCTGGGATCACTTAGTACCTTGTTTGAGCACCAGTTAGAGCAAAGAGCATGGCAAACACCAAGGATTCACTGATGTCATATCATATTAACTCTCTCCTTTTAAGAGGAAAGTGATGATGACCCCAAGTTAAGTGACTTTGAGGTGGATGTGGCCACAAGTGGTCGAGGAAATGTCAAAAACCTCAGTAATAACCCATGTGCAACATACTTTCAATTTTGATACCGCTGGTAGTGTCATCCTGCCAGGATGTCCTGTAACCTATGCCCTAAGTAAAGAGAAACAATTCTGGAACATATGCAATATGGCTGATTGACTTTGGCTGTCTCTGTCTATCTCACAGATACACATAAATAGTTATTATACATAGTGTAAATTACCTACGATAACCCAAAAAATCTAGACAAAATGCTATACTGTGCTTGTAGATATAAGGCATAATAAGCATGATTGGCAAGTAATGCTCATTTTTACTTGTTCAGGAATTAGACGTGATGACTGCATCATGTGTAATACCTGTTAGCTCATGAGTAGCTCTCTGAGACAGAAAGAGAGACAAGCAGACAGAGAAACGGGAAGACAGACACATAGGCAGATAGAAAGACAGATAAGCAGACACATAGATAAAGAGACAGAGCTAGGCAGACAAATAGACACAGACAGATAAACAGATAGACATGTATATATGTAACAGTGAAAACAAGCAAAGCCAAAGCAGTGCACGATTATCAGGTGTCACTCCACTGCTGCACTGCCAGCATTAGAGTGATACTCATCATACACCCCTGCTTCAAGGAGTTTCATATATACTCCAGCATGTTTAAAACATTATTGAGACCTATAAATACTTTGCATATATTTCTAGACAACAGTAGGCGACCAAGACAGGTGAAAATGTTCACCTGTCAGTGTGTTTGTGACTATTTGAGTACTATTTCAGTACCTAATATTATTGTCAGAACAAACATTGGCTGTGAAATCACAAGAACTACTACAAATTGTAATCAGTACATAAAAATTATATAAATTAAAAGAAAAAGGAAAAAAGATGTATCGGCAACACTTCTGCAAGTGGCAGAACTCCATGTTGCCATCAGGTGAATATCCAGCACCAAATTTGCAGTCTTATATCTTGGTAAGTACTGACCCCCCCAAATTTTTTTTTGTCTTATTACGCACAGGAAATTGCCCTCTTTATTAATATAACCCTTTCAGGGTCCAGAGGCCAAATTTCAAAGTGCACACCAGTGTCCAAGAATTTTCAAAAAAATAATTTTGTTATTTTTTCTTATGAAATGGTAGAGAATCTTTTTCTGAAGGTAATAAAACAAAAAGTACGAAATTTGATGGAAAATTGACGAAATTATGCTCTCGCGAATTTTGATGTGTCAGCGATATTTACGCATCGGCGATTTTGCTGACTGTGACTCCCATTTTAGGCCAATTCCCTTATTCCAGTCAATCAAATTCTAAGCTATTTCACTAGTACTTCTATCAATTGAGTACAAGAAATCTCCAACTCAGCTGTTTCAACTACAAAATAAAGTGATTGGAAATTGGTAAATTGGCCAATTTAATGCAAAGCTCAAAATATTCCAGTTTCAAAATAGGGTCCAGAATAAACAATGCAGGCATTCCTGGCACTAAACTAACATTTCCTCTGTTCATTAGTTATGTTTTCAGGCTTTACAAACGAATTCCATTTTGATTTTTAGTTCACATAATGAATTTTTATTCAAACCAAAAAATAGAAGATTTACTGTCATGCAATATTGTAATAATTGTATAAATAATATCAGCACATTTGGGAATGTATATCAGACCCACCAGCTGGCGTGTATTAGACGTGAGGTCATTTGTTTACTCTTGAACATCGGCAAAAATTTAACATTTCTGCCACTTTGAGCTCAGTTTCAAGCCATTTTTAATACTAAAACCAATCAAAATCATTTCTATTTCTGTAATATACCTTCCATTCTATAAAATGAGACCAAGAAATCGCAAATACAACTATAAAAAAAACTGCAAAGTTGCTGTTTTAATCGAAAATTACAGTCTCAGTTTTTTTCTCTCATGCACTGTGTGCTGCAGGATTTGTTTTATGTGGTGCACACATACCACGTAGATGTACTCTCTCATATCTAGGCCCAAATTTACCGCTCACAGATTATCAGAGTGAGCTGAGCTCATGGCGTAGATCTATGGTTTGGACCCTCAATGTAAAGCCGTAGATCTACGGCACGGTCCCTGAAAGGGTTAAAAAACAATTTTTTTTTTTTTTTCAAAATACTCGGAGCGCTGGGCGAGAGAATGTAAATCTACATTTGGACAGTTAACGGGTTAATACTGAAACATAGTAGCACCAATGATTTATGGCTTTATTTTCACATACACTGTTTGCTCAGATTCTCTAGCAATAGCAAGTTCATCTTTAAAAATTGCTGACCTCACTGTGACTGGGAGTCAAATCCAAGCCATGTTTCCATAGTCTGGTTAGGAAACTAAAGAGTGGTTTCCTGAAGCATTCAGCCATAATCTTCACATCCTGGTAACACTAACTGTAAGAAAAGTAAGCATTGTTTTCACTGGTTAATATACTTTCAGTTGTTTCTTTGATATTAATATTTTTTCAGGTGTGGCTCCACCCAGTATATTAGCTGTACAAGCTGGGACAACCTTATACCAGCTCACTTCGTCTAGTGATGCCTTCTCATTAACATCTGTGGTGAGCAAAATTTGGTTTTATTACAATTAATTATAATAATGAAACAATTAATTGCGGTAATTAGATGAACAAATTGAAGATGTAGTGTGAGGAAGATAAAAGTTAAAACAATGTGTGTGGGGATGGGGATGCACTCCAAGCACCTATACGAAAAACAGTACAGAATGGGTCACATAACCAGAGACCAAACAAAACGTTACTCGTCAGTCCTAACCAGCCTGGTAAGAAGGGCTAAAAAATTGTATTATGAGAACAGATTATCCAACTTACGAGATGATATAAAAAAGACCTGGAAAACCCTATCAGAAATTCTAGGAACAAAAAAGATATCACGAAATAGCGAAATAAAATTAGCAAAATCAGATGAACCCCAACTCCCACCAACAGAAACAGCAAACAGACTCAATAATTTCTTCTCCACTATAGGAAAAAACCTTGCCAATAAAATACTAAGCTCAGATACCCCACCCAATGACTACCTCACTGGCAACTACCCGAACACACTGTTCCTAGCTCCGACTAACCCTACTGAAGTCTCCCTTATTATTAACACACTTAAAAAACAAACAGGAGATTTAAATACCTTACCACCCTTTATATACAAAAAAGCGTCGCAAGTGCTATCACCAATCATTGCAACACTCTTTAATAAATCCATAGAATCCTCTAACTTCCCTACAGTTCTCAAAATAGCAAGGGTCACCCTGATCCATAAAGGAGGAGACCAAACAGACTTGAATAACAATAGGCCAATATCCAACTTACACCCTCTCTCTAAAATCTTCGAAAAATTAATTCATAAGCGAATCTATTCCTACCTCATCTCCCACAACATACTCAACCCTTGTCAATTTGGGTTCAGGCCTAATAAAAATACTAATGATGCTATTATACACATGGTAGAACACATGTACACTGCAATAGAGAAAAAAGAAGTCCCACTGGGGATCTTCATTGACTTAGGTAAAGCTTTTGATACAGTTGACCATGACTTGCTCCATATAAAATTGTCACAGTATGGTATAAGAGGGCACTCCCTCAACTACCTAAAGTCTTACCTCAGCAACAGAAGCCAATATGTGTACACAAACGGGGCAAACTCTTCCGCACAGCCAATTACAGTTGGAGTCCCACAGGGAAGTGTCCTAGGCCCTCTTCTCTTTCTCATATACATAAATGACCTACCAAGTGCATCACAACTACTCAAGCCCACACTATTTGCAGATGACACTACATACGTCTTCTCTCACCCGAGCCCAGTCACGCTAGCCTATACTGTAAATACCGAATTACAGAAAATATCTACCTGGATGAGGATAACAAACTTACTCTAAACATTGACAAAACCTACTTCATTCAGTTTGGTGACAGAGCTACAGACGTCCCTCTTAACATAATGATAAACGGATCACCTATCACAAAGCTAACAGAGGGAAAATTCCTAGGAATCCACCTCAATAATAGACTCAAATTTCATACACATATACAACAAATTTCTAAGAAAATCTCCAAGACTGTAGGCATAATATCGAAGATACGGTACTATGTTCCACAGTCAGCCCTCCTGGCCCTATATCACTCACTTATTTACCCCTATCTCACCTATGAAATTTGTTCATGGGGCTCAACAACAATAAACCATCTCAGACTATTAATTACCCAACAAAAGGCTGCAGTCAGAATGATAACAAATTCCCACTACAGGCAGCACACTCCACCAATATTCAAAACTCTAAACCTACTCACCATACAAAGCATCCATACTTTTTACTGCACCTACTACATACATAGAACACTTAACTCTGATATAAACCCTCCCCTCAAACGTCTCCTTACCAACCTCAACAGAACACATGACCATAACACAAGGCACAGATCACTCTTTGATGTTCCTCGTGTCCACCTCACGCTATGCAAAAACTCAATGCACATAAAAGGCCCTAAAATCTGGAATTCATTACCTGTGAATATAAAAGAAACACTGTCTGTTTATAAATTCAAGTCTCGTCTCAAAAATCACTCACCCACAACTAAATAAATACTGAATAATTGTATATCATAAATGTCTAACCTGTGACCCAGTCAGACTTTGTTATTTTTTTAATTACATTACCTAACAGAATACTCCATTCTATTGAATGCACAGCAACACAGTAAATGACCTGTCTTTGTAATACTCTTTTGTGTTAAATTGTTATCTGTTTACAATAATGTTTTTAACCACTGAATATATCATTGCTTAGTTAATCCTAAGTTAATTTTAAGCCTGCCCATAATGCTCTGCATACAAGGGGCTTTGGCATGTTGCACTTTAATAACAGTATTCCTTTGTGCTTCTCTGTATCATGTTCAAATAAATAAATAAATGTGTATGTACATGCATGCACATGTGGTGTGTGTGGGGGGGGGGGGGTTCAGTGGTTGTAATTCTGACTTTTATGACTGAGATGTGTTACATCAGTTTGGTGTTGGTGAATAAATAAATCATGATAGATATAGGAAGGATATAAAAGTGAATGTAAAGGTAATAGCAAGACTGAGAGATAGGAGTAATATGTGGTTTGTGTGAGAGAAATCTGTGGCATATCAACCAGCATAGCAGTAACCCTTTTAGAATTGGTAAGCCTGTGGAGAGCTCCATTCAGTGGACTAAGACCCACATTAAAAGAGAGTGTTCTCCATTTATAATGATGAATAAAATACCATTACCAATTCATTCGTCAGTTAAGAAAGTCAGATGTGTGAGTGTTACATGAATCTGACAGTGTTTCATAAGGTCTGCTCAGTGTGTTCCTGTTTTCTGTTCTTGCTTAACCCTTTGAGGGTCGACAGGCCCTCTCCGAGACTCGTTCTCAGGGTCGGCCAAATTTCCAAAAAAAAAAAAAAAAAAAAAAAATTATGAAAAGATAGAGAATCTTTTCCCGATCATAATGACACCAAAAGTATGAAATTTGATGGAAAACTTACGGAATTATGCTCTCGCAAAGTTAGCAGTCTCGGTGATGTTTACGCATCGGCGATTTTGCCCACTTTGAGCCCTATTTTTGGCCAATTCTACTGTACTAGTCGACAAAAAACATAAATATTTCACTAGAACTCCATTTTTTCTATCGAATGAGTGCAAGAAACCACCCATTTACCAATTTCAACTATCCAGTACAGTAGTCAGAATTTAGCAATTTTGCCAATTTCACACAAATTTAAAAAATGCCAATTTCCGAATAAGGTCCAGAATAAACAAGAAAGACATTCCTGGCACTAAAATGACATTTCCTCTGTTCATTAGTCACGTCCTCACGCCCCTCTTACATTCTTTTGCTTTCCACTTTGGATTTTTATTCTGACAAAAAATAGAAGATTTACTGTTATGCAGACTACTGCATTAGTGTAAAAAAATGGTATAAATAATATTGGCGCACTTGCAAAAGAATATTAGACTCACCAGTTGACGTGTATTGGACGCTTGGCATGATTTGTTTACTTTTGAACGTCGGTGAAAATCGAACATTTCTGCTACTTTGAGCTCAATTTCAAGGTACTTTTCATTGTAAAACCAGTCAAAATCATCACAATTTCTGTAATATGTCTTCCATTCTATAAAATGAGACCAAGAAAACTAGAATACAATAATAAATACCATACGAAAATACAGTGCAAAGTCGCTGTTTTATTCCCAAAAAACGGTCTTTTTTTTCTCATTATGCACTGTGTGCTGCAGGATTTTTTTTATACTGTGGTCACTGACCACATAGACCCATTCTTTCATATGTAGGCCTACCAGCTTTCTCCCACTAGGTTTGAGGGCGCTAGAATTTAGGCGTACTAGTATGTCAAAAACCCTGGGCCGTAAGCCATACTAGTATGGCTGAAACCCCCAAAGGGTTAAAAAAAAATGATTACTTCTCTGTAATACATATTGGCACTGTGGTATGTGATAATTGGAGGGAAAGAGGGGTTGGAAGTCATCCTAGGAAAGATTAGAGGCAGGGAGTGAAGGAGGTTTCATGTGCAAGGGGTTTGGACATCCAGCAAGCTTTTGTGAAAGTGTTAGATAGAAGTGAGTGGAGGCAAGTGATTTTTTATGATTTGATGTACTGTTGGAGTGTGAGCAAGATAACATTTTTGTAATGATTCATTTGAAACTGGTTAGCCAGACCTGAGTCCTGGAGGTGGGATGTACAATACTTTCACTCTTAAGGATAAGTGGAGATATTACAGTTTGGAGAGCCATCTCCCATATCTGAACAGTGATGCAGTATGCATCTGGGAAAGCAATGACTGAACGAATGATGGTGAAAGTATTTCTTCTTTTTTAGATCTCCCATCCTTGGTGTGAGAAGGCTAGTATGTTAAAAAAAAATTCTAACTTATATAATGTGAGTTGAGAAGTTTGATGGAAACCTCATTGTGAGAAACTGACTTATAATTTAGCAGGACATGTTTTACTAGTGATGTTGAGAATAAAATGAAAGCAGTTTGCTGGGTGAGAATGTTTTCATTATATTACTTTTCTTAACCTGAGTACTTTACATCTAGTGTGTGGTATAGTTGAGATAGTGGTGCATAAATTTTGAATGTAGGGATACAGCACTACTACTTTCTACTGAATAGTTTAACACTGGATGCAGAGATGTACTGCCAACAGTATAAAAGGAAATGTACAGGTGTACAGCAAGCTTGTACCGTGACATATTTTATGTAGAAAATGAAAACTAAACTAGGTGACATGTTATTTACATAAAAGCCCTAGTTGTGCACACCATTTTGAGTAGCCTTAAAACTAGCTTCAAACTACACGACAATGTTTTACTGGTTTAGATTACTTGTATTAGAATGCCATGACAGCAGTGCCTTAGTGTGCGCAACAAGGCTAACAGAGTACTTGGATTTATCTCAAGAAGTATAAGTAACAGAAGTCCAAAAGTTATTTTACAGCTCTATACATCATTAGTGAGGCCTCATTTAGATTATGCTGCTCAGTTTTGGTCCCCTTACTACAG